GATATTGGGACAACTGTATTAATGGTGACAGGATATAGAGGGACAACTGTATTACTGGTGACAGAATAGAGGAACAACTGTATTACTACAAGGTGACAGGATAATGGGAAAACTGTATTAATGGTGACAGGATATTGGGACAACTGTATTAATGGTGACAGAATAGAGGGACAACTGTATTACTGGTGACAGAATAGAGGGACACCTGTATTACTACAAGGTGACATGATATTGGGACAACTGTATTACTACATGGTGACAGGATATTGGGACAACTGTATTAATGGTGACAGGATATTGGGACAACTGTATTATTGGTGACAGAATAGAGGGACAACTGTATTACTACATGGTGACAGGATATTGGGACAACTGTATTACTACATGGTGACAGGATATTGGGACAACTGTATTACTACATGGTGACAGGATGATGGGACAAATGTATTACTGGTGAAAGGTTATAGTCGGACAACTGGATTAGTGGTGGCTGAATATAGTTAGATAACTGTATTTTGTTGGATTATAGATTAATAAAGTTCAGCTCTATTCAGGCGATTATAGGGTCGGTCATTGTTTTGTCTATATGCTTGAATCAAAAATGATTTTTTAACATGATTCAATTTGTCATTGACAGGAAACTGTATTTCGTGCCTTGGTGACCACAGAAAAAGAGGTGGCCACATTCCATACCGGGACAGTAAACTGACCAAACTGCTCGCTGACAGTCTAGGGGGCAGTGGGGTCACACTCATGGTAAGCGCATGAGAGAAACAGAATCTTGTACTCTTTGTCGGCATGTCCAAAGATAATTGATCTGTTCCTGACTATAAACAAAGGCTAGTTTCAACTCGGTTATTTCAGTGGAATTGTCAGGTGTCAGAAAACATTGATTTTCCAATTTAGTTGAAACCATCCCCACATCAAATGGATTTTCAACTGTATGCCTAAAAATAGCCATAACTCTATGAGAGGTTATGTTAAATGGGAGGTTTGTGATGAGCTATTTATTGGCCCGTTCCTGACATATTTATAAAGCATTCCATTAGTGGATAGGTGAGATTTGTATGACTAAATGTATGATTGATCCATTATATTAGTGTTTTTTTTGTCTAGGTCATACTGTCAAATCACAGTCAATGGTGCTATTTTATTTCACCTGGATAAGTAAAACATCCTAAACCAATACAGCTTGCGAAAATGGAAGAAGAGGCATTTTTATTCATTTACTTATAATAAATTGTTAGGTATGACTATATTTCAACTAAGAACAAATGTGTCACTTTTGTCAAAGGTATCCATGTATCTCTCCGACTCAAATACTTCCTGGCCAGTGCAAACATTGAGGATATTGACATCTGAGAGATATTGAATTTGATGTTATGACTTGGAGTCAATACTTCAGAGATTCAGTTTGACACTTCTGTACGGTTGATAGGTTGATAGGTCCCTCTGCACTAAACATGCCAAGATTCCTGCAATGAAGTATATTATTTGACATTGTTTAGAAAAAAAATATAAAAAAAATAAAAATTAAAGTCCGTCATTATATGGCTCAATGTTATAACTCACATACTTCATGATGCTATGATATACATTTTTTTAATTCATTATTTTTAATGTTTATTCCATCAACCAAGATATATTAAACCTTTCACCACTGTAGACCATATTGGACTAATCCAGATCAATGCATGGTAGAGTCTACTAAAGTTACATAGGGTTGAAAGGGTTAAACCTACATGTAAATATTTGGCTTTCATCATTGAACTGATTAGATTCTCTCATGGAATTGAAATTACGCTGTACGTCAAAGATATGTATACTAGTTGGGGTGCTATATTTAGGATCTGAAGATAGTGGTGTTACTGTTAGAAAAATTCTGGAGCGCGAGACCCGATTTTGGACCCTAAAATTTATCATTTTCAACCAATGAATTTGCTAAACTGTTCCTATTTTCCAAGATCTGATGATTTCATCTGAAAGAACAGCTCAAAAGATGCTATGTATAAGTGTTATTTTACCCTAGGGTGAACATTATACATACATTATATTTATGCTTTTAATTCGGAGCACGTGCAATCTCCCCATTGCCATTTCAAAAAGTTGGCAAGTATACACATAAATTTGTGCCTATCATAGCTTAGTCCTATATCAATTAATAAATGCAAATAGACACAGGCCAGGTTAAGTCACCTGCCTGACTCCTGTCAATCATCAAAACAGAAATACATGCACACACACATTAACCACAAGTCATGGCAGGTTAATAGAATTACTTAGTGTGAAAGAATGAATTCAAATAACTGAGGACTTGTAAAATTAAACGGTTGTGATCAAAATATTAACAAGTGCTAGCAAACATAATTGGTTAGCTCCAAATGGCTATGGGATGGCCAAGGAAACATACAGGATTGTTATAGCAATTCAGGATCAATGATGACTTGTGGAAGGGTTTTTGAGGTTGATACAGAGATCTACTTTCATTAGTCTTGAGGATTAAATTTCCCAGGTATAAACAATGAAATTGTTACCTGTGTCACCTTTACCTGCCTCACGACCAGCCTCCGTACCTAACGACGGGTATTCAGACCTGTCCTGTCTCAAGATCTGGTATTGATTCGTCTCGAGATAGCTTTACAAATCAGTGTTTGTTACCTGCTAATAATCAATAGAACTTCTCTGTTTCACCATGTCTTCAACTTGTAAAAAAATGTGTAAAACCCCAACTTATTGTCATTTATATCACCTTGTCCAATCTAATCGCATTAATTTTCTTTACGAATTGGTTGTTGGACACGAAAGTCAATTTCATTGATTTTATATAACAGTGTATCCTATGTCAGCATTTTTTGTATGCGTCTTAATTTTGTAACCACTTGCTATTTGTACTAAATTAATCAATGCGATTGCATGTGTGAGATATGAAATATTTTGTAAATATGTTTTGCAGATAAATAAATAATGAATTTTATTAAGACAGGAAAGGGGCCATGTTAATGTCTTAGAACCAATTCATGTGTTGCTGTGCTAAATCATGATTTGTAGGTAAAAGTGTTTTCCATGCAGACAAAATTATAATTAAAAAAAGTGCAGTTTTCATTCCTACTTTAATGCTGGAGATACATCATTGTTCACTGAAGTAATAAAATCGATAGCAAGTTAACACTTTATATATGTGATAAGCTGAGAGTACCTTTAACTCATTTACCCCTGAAATTTTATAATAAACAAATGTATCAACATGGTTGAATGAGATAAAAAGAATTCCCAAATTTGATTCTCTTGGTTTTTCCCATATTTTACCCCTTAATTACAGGGAGTTATAATCATAGCATATTCCAGAATGCCCTCCTCTGTCAAATATTTAACAAGGGGGCATGCTCAATGACAAGCTTATTAGAGGTAAAATAAAGTAATATGTATCAAGCATAAACAGTGGGTTTACCTGACATACCTCTGTTAACAAACTTGTTGTATAATGTAAGACAGGTAACCCATGTCAAACACTACCTGACAGTCTTAGCTTGAGGGAAAAAAACAGTCGGTTTTGAAACATTGTGACAAATATTTGTATATGTTTTTGTGTGTGTTAAAAATAAAACATTGGTACAAATATATTTCCAGATAGAGAAATGATTTTGAAGATATAGTACCTTTTAATTCATTCATCTTCTTTAATGGGACCCCTTAAAAGATTGAAGTTTCACATGTTATTCTTTTTAAAATCCTTTTCTTTCCTGTTTAAAATTCAGATGTACAATCTGTTTTTAAAACTGAAAGGACCAGAGCACTATAAATAGGCATAATTTTTTTTACATATTTGAAAAAAAAAATACATCAGGTTTGTATATTCTGTGATAAGTAACATCCTGTTTTACGACTGTATATGCACAGCCACTTTATATTGCTAGTGGTTTAATTAGTTGCATTTGCCAGTTTTATTAGGGGCATTCTGCATGTTATGACCAAGAAAAATAATTACTTTGACCAAAACCGTTGATTATACATACTTTTTTTCTTTCAGATTGCCTGTATTACCCCCTCATCACATCATATATCGGAGACGATGAACACATTAAGGTACGCCAGCCGGGCCAAGAAAATCAAAACAAAACCGCTAATCAAGATGGTAAGTGGCTTAATGTCGTCGCTGACATCAATTTTACGAACGTTCATTTATTTATGGATGAGTTTGTTTAACATATGTTTTTCCAGTGGAAATCATTGCTGGAGTTATCATTGAAAATATTTTTTCCTAATGCTCCAGTAATGCTTTCCAATGCAGAATATTGTGTTTAAATATTTCCTGAGGTCAAGGAACACATGTACATGTGAAACTAGGGCTGAGAGATATAATGTGAACAGATTGAATAATTGTTAATTAATCAATGAACACCTGGTTTGCAGTGTGATGAATATGCAACTAATTGTGTGGGGTTTTGTGCTGTAAACTATTCCTGAGTTTGTGCAAACTTTTTGGCATAATAATCCATCTCCTTAATGTCATCATATGACCTTTAGCTGTTGTGAGGAAGTAAAAAAAAAAAAAAAAATCATGTCAACTTAATATCTATATCACTTAGATTTCTGACTTACCAGATAAATATATGTTTACATCTTCTATTTCAGGATCCTAGAGAAAAATTGATTATGAGTCTAAAGAGAGAGATAAAAATACTCAGGAACGAAAACCAATATCTGCGTCAACAGGTACGTACTGAGGTCGGCATGGAATGTCTGTTGATTTCGGACAAAGATTTTTATAAACAAATTTTGTTTGAGTCTCAATTAGTATTTTCAGAGATCTTCAAAATAACTTGAGTCCCAGTCAAAAAAACATTTAAAAGTAATAGGACAAGTATATGGCTCCGATATTTTCTTTGCAGAAATGTTTGCGATATCATTCTTGTGACATACTTTTCTTGCATACTAAACCAAGATATCCACATTTCCAGTAGTGCTCGAAAAAAAAAAAAAAAATAGAATATGCGAGACAAATGCTGATGGCATTCAGGAAATCAATACAAAAACTCTACAAAGAGAAAAAACGCTATTTGTTTTATGTCATTGTTTTACTGGAGTTAGATTTGAACCTTTTGTTAAATCCATTCTTTGGTTTATAGATCTGTAGTTTTTTATTGCTAGACCATTTATTCTTAACACAATGAATTGTAATTACTGATGCTAATTGTTCACAGTTGGAGTTCCCAGAGAAGACAAAAGTTGCTATGCAGAAAGAGAGCGATGAGAAGTACAAGAATTTCATGAAAGAGCAAGAAAACAATAAAGGTGTGTGCTCACTAACTATGTGTTCAATAGCCTTAAATACATCTTGACCATTACAATAATTGTAACCATTCTTGATTTTAAATATTTATGGCATTTATTTCTAATCTTTTCACAGACTTTCTGGTAGATATAGCAGGTTACTTTGTATGTTAGTCGTTTTTTTTTAGGAATACTTTATTCATTATTGAATTTTCAATGTAATTGTTTTGTGTTTTCCTTGTATTTCTGGTATTAATCTTTCAATATTTTCCCCATTACATACGTGTAAGTAATTCTATAGTACAAAATGTATCCCTATATTTAATCTTCGTAGTTCCATGATTTCTGTGTGTTTCCAATATTATTAGTTCCATATTATCTCTGTATTTAATGTTAGTACAGTTGTGTGACCGCATAACACACCAAAAATACCATGCATACATCGTTCACACACCGTCCGCACATAGTCCACACATGGTGCGCACAACTGGGCGATTTGATTTAACAATCGTTCGCCCCGTTGTGCGCTTCTCTCCGAACAACTGTGCGATTTGGTTCAATTTATTGATCAATATTAGAGAATGAAAATAATACTGAAGGCTCGCATGCAATAATGTACACTGTATTTATTACTGTAATTTCTCATCACAATAATTAAGATTATGTTCAATTTTACAATGCGGGTAACACAGTATACAGTGACCGTTAGGCTGTCAAGAATGGGTTCGGCTCAAAGGTAACAGAACAGGCAAATAACAAGTTGATGAGTGACCGGAGTTTTATCTGGCCTGTGCCTGACACATAGAGCTGCTATGTGATACCGTATGACCGTTATGAAAACACAACTGGACGTTTAGTATTTGTAATTTGCATTCGTTTTGATCTATAGCTCCCCTTCACCTAGTTTTCACACCTTGGCGAGTTACGTAAGTTCCCCGGGCGGGGGATAACTACGGTCCAGGTACAGGTACAAAGTGGCTATGTTTACCTGTGTGGCCGAGACTGTTGTAATTTTACATGTGTCGATTAAGGCCTTTAAAAAACACTGTAAACAAAATTTCTAAATTTAAGAAAGTATAGACAGAAAGATAAGCTTATATATGTAGCTAGAATATAGAAACATACTAATAAATCAAGTTAATATGTTTAAACACCAAACCGTATATATTGTTATAGCCATTCCTCAATTTACACAAACCACGATTGTTCATCGATCGTCCGCACAAATGTGCACAAGCAACCATCGTTCATTTTTTCATCGTTTGCACTTCGTGCACACATCTTTCACACACCGTGCACACATTGTGCGCACATCGCACATCGTGTAACGTTGTGCAATCCCATAACTGTAGTTCCATGATTTCCCTGTATTTCCTATGTTAGTAGTTTCAATATTCAATTGTGTTGTTACTAGCTCAGCTCTACAGTATTACAAAGCTATAGAACCTTTCCCATTGTTTCTATCTAAGGTGGAGAGAAGCCGAAGAAGGACCCAAAGTCGGAGGAGGCTGGCTTGTATGAAATGTTACAGGAATATATGATTGAGAATGAGGCTCTCAGGTAATGTGCATCATAATTTTAGGAAATAGTTAACAATAAATAAAACTCCAAATAAATTTGGTTTGCTGAATTTGTTCAATCTGGTTAAAAATAAATCATTGATATGAAAACAGGATGAAGTGGTTAAAAAGAATGTCAGTTAACTAGATAAAATCTTAGGTCAAATGTTAATTGTAGTTCATGTTTTAATTCAATTTCTTAAATTGTCCTTTAAAGGACAGAAAATGCTGATCTTCACGCAACGAAAGACAAGATTCGAAGAGAGCAACAACTTCTCTACAAAGACAATGAGAAGATGATGAAGAGAATAGAGGACTTAGAAAGGTATGTGGAGTAAACTCAACATCTTAGCACAGAGGCCATCTGTTTTCCTTCCGATTTTGGTTTCCCCATCCTGCACAGCAGTTGAATGACAACTTTTATACAGTAAAACCTAAATGACATGCTTCTTCATTTCATTTACCACCTTACCTACTGCTAACATATTACAAGGTTCCTGTTCTTATTTCCTTCTTTTGATAATACATTGACAAAATGCTTCATAATGCTAAAATATTGTTGGACAAATGATCATAAGGGATGTAATAAAACAAGGTTTCACTGTACCGCTTCGGCTATATGGATAGTAATTTTCACCCGAAAAATCCAAATGTGTTCAGGATTGAAATTACAGTTTATAGATTGTTTACTATATATTTATGGTAAATTGCAAAACCAAATTAAAAAAACAGTGTTACTGAAAAATTTCCCTGTATACAACTTAACATTATTCCTATAATTACTTAATATATGTCAAATATTTAAAGTCCTGACCTTAAATGTTTTCTGAGAATTTTTTCCAACCATTAACATTATACATGTGATTTATATCTATACCTTTGGTTTCTGTCAGAGTTATCTCCCTTAAAAATTGAATTAACATTATATCAAATAAATCAGTATTACTCAAGTATTTTAAATGATTGCATTCATGTGTACCATTTCAACATGTCTTCAATTGATGAGCAATTACTTCACCTATCAGTTAAGTAATTAACAAGGGCCCAATTACCATTAATGAGGATATTTTACAGGTGTTAAGCATGAATCCTTTTGAAAAGGAGGTGCATATCATACTAGTAGTGAGGTAGCATAAAACATTCATTACTGATTTGCAGTTACAAGTCATGATAATTTCTCATTTATAAAATGTGGTATTTTATTAATATTCAAAGGTGTAAAATATTTTATTTTGATGTCAGAAGGAATTCCTCTGACATTATATCTGATTCAACTTCCAGCCATTTGGGTCCAAATAAAACTAAATAATAATTTTGAAGGTTATTCTAATTTTTCAGCAATTTCTTTGGGTAAGAATAAGAATATAAGTAAGATAAGCATGTAAGGTGGAACTGATGTTGGGCCTGAGTTTTTGTGAGATTGTGTGACTTTTGTAGAAGGTGTATAACAATACATTCATGCATGCCATTGTTCAAGGTCTCTAAAGCTTGTTGCTCTCACTCTGCAAAAGTTTCCATTTAAAGTCATATACAGTGTACAGTGCATGTGTCTGTATTCAAAAACTGATAAAAGTCACAGTAGTGCTATTTTGAAGGACAGATTAGACAATACTAATTCATACTTCCCAAGTCTGACTTTTGAAATTCATACTAAAATTCAGTTATTTACCGGCATATATTAGCTTAAACTAAAGCTAACCGAATGTAAAATAGGAATAGTTTTAGAAATATTTTGTCAGTTTCAAAAGTTTATGACAAAGTGTCTTAGAATTTCTTTCCTGAAAGTTTAAAAGGTTGGCAAATATGCTAATTAATATTTCCATTGTGGTCCATAAGATTGGAAATCATTCCATAACAGTTCTAAAGTGTTCAGTTAACAAGCTGGCTTTGAACAATTTGGCTCAACAGATGGACGATTCATGCCAACTATAATTAAAAGGCGCTAGGAATCTTACATGATGATGCTTTGGTACCAATTTCTTATAAAAAAAAAGCCAGGAAGATGAACTAAATGCGCATTAAAGTTCAGTTTCTTAAAATCTATGTTGCTATATATGATTACTATATATATAATCAAGAATTAAAAGAAAAATGGTTTAAACTGAATTTTTGATAAGATACATACACCTTATGTAATAGACTAAAGCCAGAATTTCAATATTTTCCAGGAAATTTGAATCTAGACTAGAGGCTAGAACTTGTATACGAACCATAGTGTACATTTCTTCTTTTTTAGCTACGTCTTATATCAAGTGATATCTGCTGTATCTTATATATATATTGACATCTCAAAGAAACAACTTTTCCAATAATAATAATAATGTACAACATTTGATATAGCGCCCTATCTAGCTAACTAAATAAATTAAATGTGACTTTTTTCCTTTAAATTGGTGTAAAATAACTTCAATAAAGGTTATATTATCATGAAATATTGCAGAAATTATTTGAAATAATTTACTACAGTAGTTTTGAAGGTGAATTATTTGACTCGGTTATAGTGCCACTATTTATAGTATCTCACATGAATCCCCATTTTATCACATTTCAATTTTAACAAACAGTGGGATTCTTTATCATATTTAATGGAAACAAGTTAGTGATTCACTTTTAAACATTGCCTCAAAAAATTGTCTTATATGACATTATGTAAAAAAGGATACTAGAAAGCTCAAGGGAAAATGTAACGTGTGTAATCATAGTAGTGAATTCCTCACACTGTACCTTGTAATATCACAAACATTTAGGTATTGCTAATCTAATTGAAGGGGATCTCCAAATTAAATTGAGTGGTTACATGTTTCTTAATTGAAACCATATTAACGGAACTGCACACAAACAATATTAGTCACCTGAGCAATTGATTCCATTGAACTCACAATGTTATTTGAAACAGACTGCAATGCATCACAATGTCATATATAAAAAGGAATAATGGCCAATTCATTGATTACTTTTCGTGTTTATAGCACTATGAATGCAACTTGAGTTGGTTAGTTGTTATAGTGAACTTTCACCGCTATAGGTTTGCCCTTGATTCCATCAAATTGTTCAAAGTACTACCGGTTATTTCAATACTGCCAAAAAACTATGAATGTGACAACACAACCAAAAACTTACTTAGTACATCACTAATATCTAGTGGCACTACTGCAGCTTCATAAAAGGAATTAATTTAAATACTTGATTTATAAATACTTGTATATATATGTGTGCATACAATGATACAGGATTCGTTGTAACAGGGCAGGTTACTGTAGTAAAAGTTTAATCCTGGGTTTAGTAAGGATTTAATATAGGTTGTAATAAATATTAATATTAGTTACTAGTAGTATGAAAATAATTTTGTGGTAAATATATGGTTTGGAACCATTTTATGGGAGGAATGTTTGATATTTTATACTAATCAATTAAGAACAATTTTTGACATGGTAAGAATTACATATGTATCAAGTATTAAGTCAGTGATCTTTCACCCCTTACGTTTTCCCATTACACTTTGCTGGGTATTTTGGTATTGCCATCCTGTCAACATATTGAAAACTTATAGTTTGTTTTCTATTTGGTCAACTGAGTAAAGATTTAAAAGTTGTGATCATGTATGTTATATGTGCCCCGTAAAGTAATTTTTCAAAAAGAATATTTTGCCTGATGCTTATTGGTTTGATTGTATACATTTGAAAGTAATATACACTGTATATGTATTTTAGAATTTGGAAAGAACCTTTCTAAATTCAGTTCCAGTTTTGGGGCATTTTAAATGTAAAAAAGTGTTCTTTTTAAGATTACAGATAGGTGGTCGATTTTTAAAAGAAGCTGGTTTAATGGTTATAAGTTGAAGTATTATCAACGTTTTCTTCCACCAAATAGCTGGCTCAAAGAAAAATGACAATCAAGCTGAATTTGCTGACAACCAGCTTTTAAGGAGAACACTGTTTAGGCAGGAAGGTCATGTAAGGAGTATACATTTAATTTGGTAGTTGGTTCAGCTATATGTGTGGTATGGTACTGGTGCTAATTTTGATACATTGTATGGTTCCAGATTAATTGGTCCTACTGCCTGGCAACGCCCGGCCATTGACCCCTACAGCCAGCCGTCTTCCAATGCCCCCTCACAAGTTCAGTCCCCTCGCCAGTCTCCAGCTCTACAGTACCGCTCAGCTCAACCCAGTGGTCAGCCTTTCCCTATTGGCCAACAAGGACGTTACCCGGTAAGTCATAAATACCTGGTATGTGTCTGATGCTTGTGTCAAGAATTGTCTTAGTCTGATTTTCGCGTAGCCCATCCCTATACAGTCAGCTGTACTGTAGTACTGATCATTTCATGTTACATATCAGCTCTTTGAGTGGGACATTTGTTTGTTTGTTTGGCGTTTAATGTCATCTTAACAGCCAGGGTCATTATGAGGACGGTGCCTAGCGAGACTGCCGGAAAAAGACAGTCAAAAGTAGTGTGGTGTCATGTAATATACCAGCTACGTACTTTGTTGCTTATCTGCATGTTAAATTAGCAATAAAATTAAGAGTAGTTGAAGAGATATCTCCTAGGGAAAACATTTCAGTTGTCACCAGGTATGTTTACCAGTGTTTTTGTCAAACATAAAAGTTGGGGGTAAAATCATGCATAAATCACCAATTCTGACCCTTTAATGATTTGCAAGGCTCTAAATTTTTGAGGGTCAGAAGCCATTTTAATGGAACCCTAATGTGCTGATCAGTATTTTTCATTATATATTGGCTGTCTCCTATAGCCAATAAGTTAGCGAGCTTACAGAATCATTTCCAGCAAATCCCTTTGATGTTTCCTTATGCATGAGCAAGAGCAATGCTGTAGCAACATTTGATGTTTGTTTTCAGTCAAAAGAGCAGTATGTTATAGCAGCGAGTCCTAATGGGGCTACCAGGGGCAAGGGTCCCCCTCCGCCTCCTCCACCCAATAACAGCAAGCCTCGCAGACCCCCTCATAGACTCGCAGACCCCATCATGAGACCTGCTCAAATGTAAGTTTGTATGTCACGTTTACTGCTTACTAATGAGTTGTAAACAATCTGGTTCCTTGAGAAATCAAAATTAAAATATTTTTGTTTATAAATTTAGTTAATAGGTGTACCCAGGTATACAAGAAAAAAATGTGATCATGGACTAATCATGTTGTGGTATCATTCAGTCTTTTACAAAAATAATTGAGTAGTTTCCATTAACATTTGACTGGTAATAGAGGGCTGGTTCCAATTATAGCCGAAACTGTTCTCATGATCAAGCATGGATTCTGTGCTCAAACCAGTATTCTTGTAACTGCCTTAAATCATGCCAAGCGATCAAATACTTAGTGGTAATATGTAAACATTGAAAACAGTATTCGACTCAAAGTCTCTTTAAATGTTTTCCAATTCGTTTATTAATTTATAACCAGAACAAGAAATTAGGCTTGAGCACAAAATCCATGCTTGAGCATGAGAACGGTTTCATGTATACGGGCCCTGGATAAAAGCGAATTGATAATGAGCTGTTAAATGGAATATATTGTAGTGTGACATGTGTTTATTAGGCAAAAGGCAAAAAATCTAACTAGAACAAAATGGACTGATCCTTTTTAGACCCCCTGATCACCAAAATGGAGGCCCTGCATATGATCACCCACCACCCAGCATGCCTACACAGCACACGGCAAATGGACCAATCAGACAAGGTGAGACCTGTTTCCATGGAGATCTCAATGCTTACTTTAGCGAAACCTTGTATTTTGTGGGTGATGGAACTAGCATGTTTGAATCAAAAATGCATTTCTATTTATTTAAAAAACATAAATGCATGAATAGCCAGGTGTTTTGGACTCAATTTTTGATGTGTGTTTGCTCTTTTTCTGCTTTTTTTTTACCCCTAAATTTCGAATATGTTTTTTCGAACAGTATAATTGCATATAAAGTTATATATATTGCTCTGCATCATCTAAAATCTTACAAACTCCCCAGTCTTGGCAAATTTCTCCTGTTTTAATTATTAAGTAAGATTGATTGATTTCTGTCCTTGATATTCAACTGCCAATTTAGCTTGAAGCCAAACAATTTTACATGCTATTTGCAATGCAATATAATCTAGCTACGATATTAAATCTTGTTGTTGCACTTTGACTGATAAGACCATATGAGATACCTAATCAATGATTGACCTTCACCTTCCACCATCAGGATCGTGGGATAGCAGTGGTTCAGGGACAAAGAGTTATATGTATATTCACACTAAGCGTAGTCAAATGAAAGAATGGAATAGAACAAAGAATGCCAGTCTGCCTGAGTTAAGGTTGTTTCACTCCTCTGATATGTCACCCCGATGTAAGTGGTTAGATGTGCCTTCTAAATGGTGCTTACCAAGCATATAGTTGTTCTGTTCCCTGGTCTTCCCACTCTTCCCGAAATGTCTTCCCTTCTTGCTGGAGTAACATTTCTTTAACAGTAACACTTTGAATTAGATACGAAGATTTAGAGATGTTTGGTTTGGTTTGAGTTTAGTTTAGCCAATTTTTTCTGAGTATTTATGACTCTTTAGATACCATTGTATAGTGTAACCGGATAAGAATCCAGGTTTTCTCTTTACCTGCAAGAGTATTTGACATGATTTTTGGTACTCCTTTCCTCATTTGGTAGGCCATTCTGAACTAAGAAATACATACATTGTAATTAAAAATGGATAAAAATCAGTGTTAATTTTTTTAGTAAAGAATGGTAACATAGTTAAAATTTACATAAAGTGGTCCATTATAGAAACTGCTCTGAGAAGTCTTAATACACCAAAACAATATGAGGCACCAAACCTGAAAATGGTCAGGGTACAAAAAGATTTAAATTTAATATGAATGCGAAGTGTTTTATGAGAATTAGATTCTTTCTGTATGGTTTCATTTTTTCATCCTATTTGAATTATTCCTCCTCTGAAACATTTTATCAATAGAAGTTTAAAAAGTAACTTTTGAATTTTTAAACTAATGTACTGCCCCTGAAAGACCATTTCCTTACAGTTTTAATGATATATGACAGTTATAATTGATTCAGAGTTTAGAAGGTTTCAAGAAATATTTCAAAATAATAAGATATTGGAAGTGCATGAAAATTTGAATATATTCATATACATGAATAGCATGGTAATAACAGTTAACGTTGTTGTCACAAATTTACTCGCATTCAGATAGCAACAGTCCCCTTACGGGCAAAAAGCGCTCAAAAAAGAATGTTTCCTGACATAACCTACCCAGGGGAGGTAAATCTTATTCGAAAATGCACTTCAAACATTATTGTCCTTTGCTCACAAATGTGACAGAAAGTAAATTGCAATACAATACATTGTGACTTTTATTTTGATTTTTGTAATATATTGTACCTAAATATGTGCACACATACAATTTTACACATGCAGTTTTCATTCAGAAATAAGTATTCTTGTATACTTGTTGGCTAGAGTGATTATCAATATTGGATAATCATATGTTCATAATTGTTTTCCGTATGTCAGTATCAGCCTGCCAGTTTTTTTCTTATGTCAGTATCAGCCTGTCAGGTTTTTTCTTATGTCAGTATCTGTCCGCCAGCTTTCTTGTAACAATGTAATATGACTTTTCTAGCTCATTTCCCAAACTTTTCAGAAGTGTTGTAGCATGTGTCGTATTGCAGTTAATATGAAACTTGTAACCTTAGAGTTTGTCAAATGTTTTATCATCACTTAATACCTGGGCCCATATTCATGAAACCATTCTCATGCTTAAGCATGGATTTTGTGCTCAAGCCCAATTTCTTCTTCTGGCTATAAATTATTTTCAAAAATCTTATTTTATCAATGATTGCGGGGAAAAATTGAAGAGCTAAATACTGTTTTCAATGTTTACAATTGACTTTTTGATTGTTTGACATGATTTAAGTAAGTAACAAGAAACCAGGTTTGAGCACAGAATTCATACTTGAGCATGAGAATGGTTTCATGAATACGGGCCCAGTAGTTTTAGTAATTGGTTCCTGCATGGTTTTACGTGTTGTTACTGTATCAAAATTACTGTTCCTTGTCCAATATAAATTTCAATAAATAATAATAAATTGATACTGAAATCCTTTCATCTCCTTTACTCTGTATCCCTTTCTTCTCTAATACTGTATCCTTTCTATCTTCCATATCTTGAATTCCATCCTTTTCTGATATACAGTATCCTAATTCTTTGTCCCAGATCCTTACTATTTTTATCTTCCAAACTCTGTATTCCTTCCTTCTCCAATATACTGTATCCTTTCTATCTTCCATATCTTGAATTCCATCCTTTTCTGATATATAGTATCCTTTCTTTGTCCCAGATCCTTACTATTTTTATCTTCCAAACTCTTTATTCCTTCTCTGATATACTGTATTCTTTCTATCTTGCATACGGTACTTTGTATTTTTTCTGTCTTCAAAACTCAGTACATGTATTAATTCCTTTTTCGATACACTGTATCCTTTTATCTCACAGATTCTGTTTCCTTTATCTGCTGAACTTTCTATCTCTTCGTCTTTCTTTATTTTATCTCCTTTTTTATCAAAACCCAGATGTTTACTGTACCCCCTTCTGTCTTTAAGTTCCTGTATCCCTATAGCTACCATCCCCCTCAGCCTGTATCCCTATAGCTACCATCCCCCTCAGCCTATATCCCCATAGCTACCATCCCCCTCAGCCTGTTATCATTAAGTCAGTTTCAATGCATGAAATCGTCCCCCAAGAGAATAGTGTTGGTGCGTTACATTGTCCACATTGGAAACACATCATGTATATGTACCATGCATGCGAACAATTTTGCAATAAATGACAGTGCTGAAACAACATATATATTTCTGTAACAGATATGGAAGCATATAACATTTACCTTAGTATGATTATCATTTAAACACATTATTCTGTTTTCTAGATAGTTTTATTTACACTGGTAATTACAATAGCTGCTATAAGCAGCCTGCTGTATAAATTCCCCTGTGCATACCACAGCACTAGATAGATTTCTTATGATAGTTGTATTCTATATGTCAGCACTGTATTGAGATTTTAAATTTACGTATTGTTTTTTGAATATTTATGGTAACCATATAAATATCAGACTTTGACATACCATATTGGGTCCACAAATTGCCTACGACATTAAGTGTTACACAAGGGAAAATATAACGAGGTGGGCAATTATTATTAGAAGTGATTAATAGAACCAATACGGACCTGTATGTCACCCTTGGGAAATAAAATTAATGTGTAAAAAAAATAGTGATATTTTTGTATTTGTGTGTTCTGTTTCGGAGATAAATATACTGAAATGAATGTGTTTGGTGAAAATATTAAAAACACATGACTAAAGTTAGATTATGATTCAGATAAATATCTACTTGGGACAACGCAGTGACAAAATAGTATGAACTGATTCATTGATTATCTCCCTTTACAGAATCGCCCGCTAGGATGGATAGTCGGGCAGCTTCCCAGCTATCCACCTCAGGTAAGTAGATCTACTAGCTAATAGGATTGATTTGAAAACTTTGATAGCAAATGCCTTTACAATATGTCCATTAAGTAATACATAGCTCAGTGAGTGCTTATAATTACAACTTGCCTGTAGTAATGCTTCAAGATTAGTTAATTGCTGTTTTGAAACTTTAAGTTAAGTCCAGCAATGTAAGTTAACTGGATTGTTAGAAAAAGTGTAAGCAAGGTTATCATATTGCATACATTTCAATTTTATAAATTTAAATTTGAATTTTTTCTTTTCTTTTGATTGGACAAACTTGAAGTTTAAATGAAAATTGAACTTAGAAACAAAACTCAATACAAATCCAAAAGATTAAGAGTAAACACGATACATGTATTGATAAGTGCTCTTTTTTCTCGCACAGAATCAGTGCGTTCCATGAACGAGAAGCTCAAACAAGAACTGGTGGAGCTGGAAGGGGAAATAGCTCATCACCATAATGTAAACCAGAGGACAAGGTCTAACCTGTACGGGTCCCAGGCTTCCATCCGGTCTGGGCCGCGGTGACAGGCGGCACACGATGCTTAACCTTCCATACAACCATATCAGTGTCTTATAGGTACAGCTGAGGGGCCACGTGTACAGCTACAGGGCCATGTGGACAGGCCTCCTTCTTTGGGATCATATATACAGCAGCAGGGCCTTGAAATACAGCTGCAGAGCTTTGAGAGTGGACTTTCTCTGTAAGGGCCATTTGGACAGACCTCCATATGGATCATATATACATGTACAACTGCAAGGCCATGCATATAAGCCTCCTTCAAAAGAGCTACATGTACCGCTGCAGGGCCATGTTGACAGGCCTCGTTCCTCTATGAATCAAATATATATATACAGCAGCAGGGCCAAGAGAATAGGGGTTTCTCCATAGGAGTTGCATGTACTGCTGCATAACACATACAGGACATCCTTATATATAGGGGCCACATATACAGCTGCACGGCCACACAGAAAGGCCTAAGTATCCATATATAGGGGCCACATATACAGCTGAACGGCCACACAGAAAGGCCTAAGTCTCCATATATAGGGGCCACATATACAGCTGCATGGCCACACAGACAGGCCTCCTTCATACAGGGGCCATATATATACAGTTGCAGGGCATTGCAGAGAGGCTTACTCCATAAATATTGGCCACATGAAGACTTTGGCTAGCTGAGGTCAACCCCTACACATACATCTACAATCACTAAAAGTTCAAAATGTTTTCATATTTTCAAAGTATATGAATATATTCTAACTGTTTATAAGCCTATGAATCAAATGTTATATGAGTTTCAGTTTGATGGGAATTGGGATATTAAGTTCATGGAATCCTTATCCTGTCAGAAATTCTGTTATTTATCTCCATTAGATAAAAAAAAACCTAAACCAAAACAAATTTTTAATGCAATTCTAAAAGGAAAGCCCATTTAACTTGAAATCAATGTTTTCGCACACAGATTGAACTTGGTTTAATGTGTAATTTTGTTCAGTAACAAATTTAGCCTGATATTAAAGCACTCCATACCTTATAAATATTAGATCTCCATACATTTTCTGGTCAAAATGTTTCATCACTTTTCTTAAAAAAGTGTTAATTATTGCAATTTCTTGAAAACTTTTGAAGGTTTTGTAATTCAAATTTTCCCGAAAGGCCCTCTAGGCACCAAGGTACTTAATAGGTTAAACAAATTATGTAAGAGCTATCTCATAAATAGATACATAGGAAGGATGGGAGGCCCCACTAACCATCCAATTTCTAATGAAATCTGGTATTACTGCCCATCACTACCATTAACCCCTGAAATTTCATAATGAACTATTCCAACCTTTGAATTGAAGGAGTTCAAAAGTGTCTTCAGGGGTGATCCAATGAGGTGTCCCATCCGTCCATTGTGTTTGTTTCTGGAATAGCCCTGAACTGATTAGTGGCATGGAGTATTGCCCAGCTTACTAATATCAATCTTTGTATGTGATAATACCTAGATTACTGTGTCAGGAATGTTAGGGGTTTGAGGGGTCAATCTTATGTTAGACTGTAAGAATGGTCAGCACGTTATTAGCTTGAGTGTGAATGAGTGCAAGGGAGAGAAGTAATTCATGTACAGTGCATTGGTGTGTCACTTGTTTTTCATCTGTACATATGGCATCCTACCTACACATAACTGGTTTTGTTTAATTTAAATTAACAATTTATGTCTGAAGTGAAAATGTATGAATAGTGATGTAATGTTACAGGTTCTATATATCTACACACAGAACTGTGAACCTCTACACACAGAACTGTGAACCACCTCCGCAATGGGAACTCTGTATATCTACACACAGAACTGTGAACCACCTCCGTAATGGGAACTCTGTATATCTACACACAGAACTGTGAACCACCTCTGTAATGGGAACTCTAGCCTATATATCTACACACAGAACTGTGAACCACCTCATTAATGGGAACTCTACTCCTATATATCTACACACAGAACTGTGAACCACCTCCGTAATGGGAACTCTGTATATCTACACACAGAACTGTGAACCACCTCATTAATGGGAACTCTAGCCTATATATCTACACACAGAACTGTGAACCAACTCTGTATATCTACACACAGAACTGTGAACCACCTCCTTAATGGGAACTCTATATCTACACACAGAACTGTGAACCACCTCCATAATGGGAACTCTGTATATCTACACACAGAACTGTGAACCAACTCTGTATATCTACACACAGAACTGTGAACCAACTCTGTACATCTACACACAGAACTGTGAAGCACCTCCGTAATGGGAACTCTGTATTTTGACATGAAGTATGTGGATAAATTAATATGGTTTAAGTTTGGGTTGTCATGTCCATGTTCACGCTGTAAAAACTCATGATGATTGCAAGTACAAGTCATCTGTAGTGTAACTGGTTGATGAGAAAAAAGAACCATTTGGCCAAGTTTGCAACAAACAAGTTGTACTACAGTATATTTATTTTCATCAAAAGTATCATGACAGGTATAGATGCTCCCTATTGTGGTAAAAACAGTACATTTTGTTAACACTTGTTCAAGTTTCTTGAGAATCAGACTCAATCTATGTGGGGCTATTGAACACATCATTGTCGGAGTTTTCTTGAAATTTTATCATACCAAAGGTTCTTACTTTTTCTGAATCAAACTGGTCCTGAAAAAGTGAGTCCATCCCTACAATTGAAAAAAAGTGATCCCTTGTCCATATGAAGTAAGCCAAAAAGTGACTAAAACATATAGTGTTTTGGCTATTGCAAAGTCAGTTATTAAGAATTTATTTATTCTGTTTAGTAAAAAAAAAAATTGCTATAGGGTTCATCATTCACAGCCCATGAAATAAAATCATTCAGCATGCCATTGCAATACATGTAAGGCCTAACTTGCATTATGATGTTACAAATTACATGAACATAAAATTTTCTTCAAGCATAAAATTTAAGCTTTTATGCCTTCTTTTTTTATGCCTTTATATTCTACCATTTTGAGTATCACTTGTCGGTAGCTTTGGTACTTGAAATTTTGTTTAATAAAACATTTTTTGTGATTGTGACAAAACAAGGCACTGTTTATTCTCTATCTCTGTCTCAAATAGCTTCACAGTACCTTACATGTTTATAAATTGAATAGAACTCTTAATTTATAACATATCTAGATGACACAATAACGATAACTATATGGTAACATAATAACGGACTTATCCAGATCAGTGCATGGTAGGGTCTTCTAAATTTATATAGGGGTGAAAGGGTTAATGGGTTAACAGGGTGATCAATTGTTGAAGCTATATAATTTCATCAACTTAATGCGATATACATCTGTAGTAATGTTTATTTTCCTGTTCTCTCAATTACATACCATTAGTTTGCAAGGTCTTAAAATACAATGTAGATAGATATACACGATACTTTCAGGAGATTATTTTTTGTCCGTCCAATTAAGTGAAGTCTATCCAGAATTGTTATTAGTCACAATAGTTGGTGTCTAGTAATATCAAAGCTTTAACATAAAAAATTTAATCATGATCACATTGTACATTAATCATTTTTGAATTTTCCATACATGTATTGAATTTTGATTTAATATCAAAGTTTGCAATATTTATTTTCAATTTTAGTATATCAATCCGTCAGATTGAAGAAGAATAAATGATTTAAGTTTTTATTCTTTTACAGGTTTTTGCAAATTTTCAGTATATGAAGGTTTTGCATACCTGTAGTGGCTCAAAATATGAACCTGCAATGTATCGATGCCAGGTCTTTCATTGAACATTGTTTAGTATCATTGATAAGCTAAAGATACATGGGTGTGTAATTTGATTAATTTGTTGCTTTTGAATAAGTGCTTACTGCTTTGTTGCCCCAAATTATTGTTCAACTAGTCTTTTTAAATGAAAGAATGAAAGTGGAAATAAAGAGTGAAATTTTATTTGTAAATATAACTATATTTATGTATAATATCCTAATTTATAAAGAATAAATCCGTCCAAAATGCTGTAATTAATGAACAATCTGTGATAATAGTCCCTATTGTATATAATGTTTACCCGGTATAGATATATATATTTACATGTCTGTTAACCAGTCAGAAATAAAAGAAATTGACCACCAAAAAAAGGGTGGTAAGCCTAGAATTTAACTGTTGTGGAGTTGTCTTTTCAGGTCATCTGAGGCAAAGTCTCTTGTGACATACAATGTACATGGATTGCAATCACCTCATGTCCTAAGATTCTTCAAAAATTCACATTTTTTTCTTTCACAGAAACCTCTGCAACAATTTCAGAAAAAATATTCAGGAAGTTTCCCTTGTGATAGAGTACTAAAATTGTAAGGTTTCTAAAGTATATTTGTCTTTAGAATTAACTCCTTTCGTTGCATATATCCTATACATATAACACCAGCTGCATTCAATAACGTATATCATAGATATGTGATCGATTTTAATAAGTAAAACTATACTGCCAGAGTATGTATGTCCCATGATGTATATAACTGTGATGTAAATGTATTTTGTGGAATATAAAGGGATAAATATCAGGAATTTCTTTAGAAAAACGGATATGGAGCTTTTGAAATATGCTGGTGATAAATGAGTGAGCGAATCAATCAAGTGGCATTCTGTCAAGGTTTCACTATTTACATCCCTGTTATAAATTTCAATATAGCTTTTTAATATTCAACATGTATGTGATGCTAAAGTTGTAAGGAAATGAATAAACTCTCCATTGATATCCAGAAGAGATTTTCCCAGTCACAGTCAAGGGAGATTTTTAAACGGGTGTTAAAGAAGGTTAACCCAGTCTCTGGCACTGCCAAATATTTGGCAACAGGTGGTGCAGGGAAGGCTCTATTAGTGCAGGTGTATATGTTGAACCAGATGACAAGGTTGTACACAGATCACTTGTAATAAGTACACCAAGCCAAGTCATACAAAAAAGCTACAAAGTATTTCAAATTGAAATTTTATTAGAAAAAATGACAATACAATGTACTGATATTTAAAACACATTATTTTATAATGAAACACAATCACCAAGCTATTTTCAAAATGAAATATGTAATCACTTCCTCTCAACTTTTCATGCATTCCAACATCAATTATTTAACATACATGTACTATACACATTTCCACTAATCTTTATAATTTGTCCCAGATAACCTATTATTATTTTGTATAATCCACCTGCCAGTATTTCTCGCAACCGACTTGCCATTTTCCAATAGTCCACCCAAGTCATTCCTTAAATAACTTGCAATAAAACAATCTTCTTTTAACAGTTTCACATCCAAGTAATGTTAAACACATTGGTCATAATGAAATGCATTTTCTGAAAAAGGCAAAACTGGTTGTCTAAACAAATGTTCACAAACCGTGTCCCTTTGCCTGTTGTGATTGATCCTGATGTAATTAATTGAAGCCAAAGGAATAACAAAGTTGAACTGGCCAGGAAAACAAGGCAGATCATAGACAAAGTATTAGAGAATTTAAAGAAGGATCTTGAATAAATAAACCGAGTTGGGACTCGGTCCAGTCTAACATGTACAGTAGTAAGAGGAGAGGATGGTAGACTACAGAGCCCAAAGTTACAAGTCAGCATCAGTATCTACTTTAAGCCTTGACCATTTATGAAATTTTGTCATATATAAGGTGCAGGTAATTATTCATGTACGTACTAGCCATTGGAAATTAAAGAGTTTGAAATTGATTACCATGTGAAAAATACTTGTGTTAATGCCAATGACATCAATACTTAGATAGTCATACATGCAACCAATATAGAACGAGGCCAAAAAATAAATTACCAGGTATGTGGTTTTTTGTTTCCCTATGGCTACTAAACTAATATTCAGACTGTCTACCCACACGTTTTGAGACAGTTTTAGAGAAGAAGTATTAAAGTCAAGATCCTTGTTCTATATAAAACCAAACCTATATAAAAATATGTGATAAAGTACAAAAATGTTACCCTACCTACCCACCCAGTTTTTTTACAGGGTTACATCTAAGGCATAGATTTATTGAGGCCTAATGGGAAAAGAAATTACATGCAACTGATCATCAAATGTATACAGTTACCATTATTTATTTATATAACTAATGTGAGATCCATTGCAGGATGTCACAGATTCACAAGACCTGGTGTCTACATTTTGAGTACATTTACTTATTGGATGAAATCCATAAAAACTTTGACCAGAAATAGCCCATCGTTTGGGTAAAAATTGTAGACGCATCAATCTGAATATATATACAATGACCCATCACATGTTTTTGTGTTTAAATGATTTACATCAGTATAATGAACATTTTTATAAACTTAAAACTAACACTCGTGATGGCTGTATCTTCCCTAGACAGAGATATTATGAATCACATTCGCCCTTATGTCGTGGTTTAGAATACCCCCAACCAAGGCTGCCAAGCTTGTGAAATCTTAAGATAATTTTCTTGACTAAAAGAACCCACTAAAATTTAAAATAGATGATGTAACAACAGAATCACACTTGAATATAATTGACTCCCATCAGACTGATGTTGTAATACGATGTAATAGAATCTGTTGTTTTTGTCTGGGCTTTTATTGTGATGGAACCATATAACATACAGTGTCTTCAAAAGATTTTCTTTGTTCCACAACTTTCTGATCATTTCACATGCCTACTACAAGCACATGTACCAGCATACATTGTGTAGGCCAGCAAATGTAGGTTCTATTTTGAAAATTTGACATACATTTTACTGATCTATTACATTGTATTATATTCCAAATATTGGCAGAAAAGAATATTAAGTAACAATAAATATATAGTTCATTGTTTGGTCTCCAGGCCGGGGATGAACACACTGTCACAGTCCCTACCATTTAAACATAAATATAAAACATGTTCCAATCACTGTCATGATGAATCGGTTCTGTTATGTCCATTGCTTGTTAATTTGTCAGATGGAGTTTCTTTTTCCCCATTTATCTCTCCCTCCTCACTTTCCTCTTCATCAGATTCTTCTTCCTTTTCTGTAAAAAAAAGAAGACAAAAAAAATCAACATTTCAGAGATAACCATTGATGACTCAAATACTTGTAAAAGGACTTTATACAACACACCCACTCCAGATAACCATT